TTATTGTTTATAGATACGTTCTTTTCGATTAATCAGATCAGATTTATTGAACACTTCTATTAAATCAACTATATTGCTTCATTGGAAAAATTTAATTTAAAACTTATGTTTATAAGCCTTGGAATTCATGAAACGTAATGACAAAAAAAATATTTGCAGACATGAGTATTACAGAGCGTATTGTTTAAAAACGCAATACTGGTGTCGTTTGTTATTCGTAGATAACTGGTACACTGATAATCGACATGAGTAGCAGGAACACAGTTATAAAACCTTCCACCGTATTAATAGATTATCTTTTAAACTGATACTGAAAGGATTATAATCATATTTTGCATAATAACTTGCTAAAGCTTAACGTAGATATCAGTATGAGAAGGAATCAGTATTCAACGGTACTTCATTTGTACTTCACTCCTATTTGCCGCTCACTTCAGTCGTACTTCGATCTTACTCCACTGTACTCCGATGGTACTCCACTGTACTCCAGTCGTACTCCACTGCTACCCCAGTGCTACTCCACCTTACTCCACTATACTCCAGTACTACTCCACTCTACTCCAGTGCTACTCCACTCTACTCCAGTGATACTCCACTCTACTCCAGCCGTACTCCAACCTTACTCCGCTGTACTCCAAAATTTGCTTTGGAGTAGATGGAGTATCGCCTTTTCCCCCTTGCCAACAATACTCATCTCATCAATTAAAAGATATTCGACTGATCTCCATTCTTTCTCAAGTTTTCAGTCACCCAGTTTAATGATCCGTGACTTTCCTGAATTGCGTTGTTCGCCCAAAAATGAATGAATTGTCATTCCATCTATTTCAGCAGCAGCAACTCCAGTCGGTTCAAGCTTCCTCATCATTTGCATTCTTTTTGTAACAAGAAAATATTTGGTAAGAGCACGAATAAGTTGTGATTTGCCCGTTCCGCCACACCCAGGTATATACATGATGAACTGACCATTATTGTCACGTAAACAGATTGTATATTTCAATTTGTGATGACGTGTATTGTAAAAGTACTTGTGCAACATCGGTTGTCACCATCAAGATGACTTGTTATGATCATAAATGCAGCTCGTTGTTCTCTGTTTAAATGTAAATTCATTAATAATACTTGTCTGAGTAGGAAGGTTATATATGACTTTGAGCACTGGAAGAATTGAACCATAGTTTTCAAAATTGTTTGTACTATAATTATTTGGATTCATCACTGTTACAACGGCATCTCTTATAGCAAATGAATCTAATGTATCATCATCTTTGTCATAGTTCCTTATAATTAGACTTCGTCTAACTCGTTCTTTCTCGATCTTCAGCTATTTTTGCCATTTTGTATGGAGTTGAACAAGATGAGATGTTGCACAAAAGAATGGTATAAGTTGTCGATTAGTACGATCAATTGATATGTCTGAAGAAGATTGATAATATGCTACAATAAATTTTTTATCATTGTTTGCAAACTTGTTACTGGTATAAAAATAATACTTACTGTTCGTATGATTAAATCGTCCAACGTTCTCGACTGCTTCGATAGTTTCTTCAATATATTTATTTTCTGTTGTTTTTCTTGTGGTATTGACTGCAGCAGTTGTATATTCATCTAAATTGCCTAATAGCTCAAGCAAGTCATTGCTGTCATCCATGTCGTATTCGCCATGAACATCATGTTTTGCTGGCAAAAGTACAGGATCGATTGCATTATTGTCGATTTGAGCTTCAGCAATAACTTGAAGTAAATGTTCATCACAGTCCTTTTTTGCATTCATGCAAAAGTTGGATATTTTCCATCATCTTCCACGAATGTACAGAAATAAGATGTTGTCGAGGTTTGAAGGCATTTTCCTATGTCTGATTGGCACCACAGAGATCAGTAACCGTGCACCAGGACACGAGGAGCGTGAGAAGAGCTCGACTGTATCGTTCTCGAGTGTCATCGCGATCTTGTCGAGGAATTTGAGGGCCGTAAAAAATAGGTATATGAAGTTGACTATATTTCATCATTAAATGTGTTGTTGCCTGTGAATGCTGTTGTTGAAAAGGAAAGCGTTCATTGTGTGGTCGACCTTTTCGATTAGCATTTTTTTCGACTGATGCTGCAGATTCGGATGAATACTTGAAATCTGATGTATTCATTTTTTTTCTTATATAATGTGCTGACGAAATCGTATAAACACATCTTGTTGAGAGTATCGGATCGGCATTGATAATCAATTCTTGTATTAACGAAGACGAAGTTATTGTCATTTTCATTCGATTGAATTTGAAATTGTTCTTCGTCATTGTTTTCATTGTCAATAGCTTCATCATCATGTGGGTCATCGTCCATTATATCTAACAAATGAGAGATAATACATTATGTTTGATTCAACTATAATATTAAAAACATACCGCATGTTACAATTTTCGACTTCAGTTTGACACGTATTTCATTTAATTGAGTTTGTAAAAATCGTTCAGTTTGAATTAAAAAGAGGCCTTGGAACTTGTGTATTGTATAATGATCATCCCAGTTCATCAGATAAGATGCAACTTGAACTCCAGATAATTCTTGTTGAGAAGCAAGTGTATTATAACAGCGTAAAACGAGTCTACGCGACTTCTCGATTGTAGTTTCTTTGTCTGGTTGATGGCATGAATTCTGGAACGCTGTAATGCTTTTTTTGTACAAGAGCAAATGTATCATGAAAAGAAAGACTCATTTTTGTCACATAATCGGTAATATAATAGATAAGAGTCTTTGCATCGCTTCTACTCCAGATAAATTTAGTATCCGTGTTGGATCGATAGGCTGCGATGAGATATTCATTAAAATTATTGATCAATGGGTCAGATCTTCGCATAGAAATGTGACCTGTATCAGGATCAATTGTTGAAATTGGTACCAATTTGCGTGGCATACGCATCCGACAACTTTTCTTATCATCTTTATTAGTATTCCAGTATTTATAACAAGTATCACTATGTTTATGAATATTGCTTGCTTCAACAAGTTGTACCACATCTGCACGAAATCGTGATGCAAAATTAGGTGACGACGAATTTGGAGTTTGTAAGCAAGCTGGAATCACTTTTGATTCATTATACGAAGCATTAATAACTAAAATCTTAAATAATCCTTTACTTTTCTTCTATGATTACTATACTTACCAAATGTTGGTTGATTACGTGTTGGTGTTTGTAAAAGTTTATTTGACAATGCAGACACATGCAAAATCGATGAAACAAATTGTTCCTTCAACGGTGTTGATATAATGTTGTTGGGTCCATATATATTTTGTTGTAAACCTGTCAAATCGATTGTACTTAAAGCTGCATATATGTTATCTCGGGATAATCGTGGTGGCGTGTTCCACGATCTTGGCACTATAACATAAGCAAAAACAATATTTGAATATAAGCAAAAATTAAACCCTTTATACCATCTAAATTTTCGAAGACATGTTTGTTTTTGATTCATCTAAATCTTCTTTGATTATATCTTCTAGGTATGCTTTCAATTTTTCACGAAAATCAGCATTTTGAATTTTGTCTTT